TTAAAGTAGAGATCAGCATTCTTCTGTGAGTCCATGCATAAGTAATTCCAGTGTTGTATTTTTAGTTCAATAAGGAAACTGTGCAGGGTCTGAAGACATTAAAGTTGCATAAACTCAAGGGGGATGTTCCAAGACCTGGAACCACCCGCTTAACACGGAAGCAGCTGATCATCGTTTTCCATGGATAAAAAAGTCTGTTAGAGAAATGTAGCACAAAAACGTTTAAAAAAAGTTTAAAGCAAGACATTTCACCAAATAATAATACATTGGATGACATAATATTTAAAATAAAGTGTTTGATAAAGTCATGAATATGGTTCCTCTGCTAGAAAAAGTGTGTGAACTTGAGGAGAACTGACTTCATACATCCACCAAGTTACACAAAAGAAAAATAATGTCAGTTCTTCTGAGAAAAGCTCTAGCAACATTTATTTGCAGATGCCACTTTGGGGCTGAACATCTGATCTACTGAATGTCCATGACTCTGAAATGTGGCTCTTCCAGAAAATAGCCAGCGAGTAGCCTAACTGAGTTTGATGTCGGGCTCAAGAAGACTTTATCTCTCAAAGAGTGTCTGAATTATTCAGTGGCAATTAAAGCACCAAACCAGCAACAGAACAGATCCAGATCAGTTCACACTCTTTATTTTCATTGATGACCAGAGCTTGAAATGGGGGAAAAATAGCTCCTGGTACTCCCCTTGTTTGCGTATAGTAAACAGTAATGATGTTGAAAAAGTCTGAGTCTCAACCCGTTTCACAGATACCAAGGCTACTTTTCTTTTTACACACTTACTAAAATTAGCATAATAAGGGCCAGATACTGTATACTAAACAGGGAAAATTAATACCAACAAAATCACAGATGGGAAAGAAAAGTTGACTCACGGTGTTCCGGACGGCTGAAAATTTCTACTCACTGTGTTTCGGACAGGTAGAGGGACTCATTTCTAATATATAACGCATACATTTTAACAACTATAAACTTGGTTGTTAATCCAAAAGTGTAGTCAAACAGGCATGGTCAGTCAACAAGAATAAACAAAGGTTCAAAATCACTTTTACAATTTCCAAGTCCACAATTTCAAATAAACACAAACTCAATAAACACAAACTTTTTGATGAAAACATTCCAGGATTTTGTCCATATAATGGACTTCAATGGGAACCAAACGGTTCAAGGTCCAACTGAGAGATTCAGTGCAACTGCTCTGTTATGAGCGTTCGTGACTCTCTTGTTCAAGGTTCAAATGAACTTAACTCGAACAAATGAACTAAACGACAGTTTAGACTCGAGGGTCGTGACTCGACCCTTCGGTTCAAGGTCAAAGGGTCGAGTCACGACTCGAAGGGTCCTAGATCAGACCCTTATTCATCGTCTGGTGTCATTTAAAGCCCTTTGAAGCTGCACTGAAACTCTCATTTTGACCTTGAACCGTTTGGTTCCCAATGAAGTCCATTATATGGAGAAAAATCCTGGAATGTTTTCATCAAAAACCTTAATTTCTTTTTGACTGAAGAAAGAAAGACGTGGACTTCTTGGATGACATGGGGGTGAGTAAATTATCAGCAAACATTTTGTTAAAAGTGAACTAACATTCACATAACCAAAAATGAATGGAAGCTTTGAACATTTGGAGAACATTTAAAAAAAACTATTTTTGTTTCCTGGGGACCCGTCAGTCTTGTCAATAAATAAAACAAGACCAAAGTTGAGAGATGAATGCCAGAAGAATGACCAGCTACTGACCACTGACGAGATCACGCATGCATTTGTTGATTTTCTTTCCACTGCATTCAATAAAGCAACAACTAATATACATTATGTGTGCCTACAAATGCAAAGCATGTTTGGCCATGTCTTTCACTGTAAAGCGTGCGAGTTGGACTCACACTGAGATAAAACCTCATGTCGTGGCACATTTCCCATTTATCTCAGAGTGAACAGAACCTCCTGCAGTTCAATTGCACATTTGCTTTTCCCCCCTAACCTGATCAAAATTTAAAATGTGTAAATAAATCATTAACGTATGAAGCCCCTCAGGTAGTGGAGGGTTCATTTAGAGATGTTGTTAGTGTCCACAGTTGTGTTTGTGTTGCTTTGAGACTTCACCTTTGCGTGATCGAGTAAGTGTGTGTTTACAAGGTCAATGCACCTTGAGTTATGTGAAATCCACTAGGTGCTTTGATTAGTGTGTGTGACTCTAACTAGTGTTGTCATAGGGGCCTAGACAGATGGCTCTGTTTTATTCTCTCTGGTTCTGGCTGCAGTTATGAATGCTGTTTGAAGTTTGCGGTAACAAAGTCATGGCTCGCAAACCCATTTCATTACCCTCTCCTAGTCTTTCCATTAATTATGTGGTCTGCTTTGGTTTCTTTGGGGTTTCGGCCCATTAACAAGACATTGTATCAAAAGATCATTTACAAAAAATGAAATGGATTTGACAAATTGGACTAGAGTTTTTGTTATTTTTTTCATGAGGCCTAGATGCAAGACTTTTCTTGCTGATATATGATGTATCAAACAAATGCATCGCGGGGATTGAGCTGCAAATAACATTGGCTGGAGTTTTCTTTGTTCTGTGCACCCTTGTTGCTTTTGTTGCCTGTCGCAATCTATCCACACCATCACGACCCGTGTCCCGTTTGGTGTGCGTATAAATTTGGTGGACAGTGTACTGTCAGAAACGTGTCTTTAGTTGTCAGTCACACTCTGCATAAAACACACACACACGCAAATGTGTTCCTCAAAATGATTTCACATCTGTCAAGCGGTTCTTGGTGTTTAAACTGGCCAGGGCTCAAATGGACCATGAAGATGATTCATATAAAATGAAACTTGTTTTAAAAATGTCAATTTAGGTTTAGTCCATCTGTGTATCACATCACATTTCCTCTGTCATGATGTCGGTGATAATATCCATGTGCAATGGCTCGGTATAATGCGCCTGCAATACTGCATGTCCAAAGCAATTTGCCTTTGTGCACATTATTTTTTATTTTGCATTTTTATCAATGTATGCACTGAAAGAACTGTTTTTTATGAGCACAAAAAGTTAATTAAATTAAATGAATTAAAAAAGTCTAGCAGTTGGAATTAAAGTCTAAACAAATCTTTGTGTTATAGATTTACTCCAGTAATTAAATTGCATTAAATGCATTTAATTGATCCAAAGTGACAGTAAAGAGACGTTTATAGTTCTACAAATAAACCCTGTTCTTTTGAACGTTCTATTCAAAGAATTCTGGAAAAAAAAAAATCCAATTTTCCAGAAAACTATTAGGTAGCAAAAACTGTTTTCAACATATAATAATAAGAATTAACATTAATAATTGAGCACCAATAATAATTGAGCAGTAGCTAAATCATAAATCAAGCATATTAGAAGGATTTCTGTAGGATCATGTGACACTGAAGACTGGAGTAATGGTGCTGAAAATTCAGCTTTGAATCACAGGAATAAAATACATTTGAAAATATATTCATATAGAAACCCTTTCCTTTAAATTGTAATAATATTTCACTGTTTTTACTGTATTTTTGATCTTATAAATGCAGCCTTATTAAAAGAGACTTCTACCAAAACATCAAAATCCACACACTGTTATTGGAATGAAACCTGACATTTTGCCAATTATCAATTGTCAAGGCTAATGTGGAATCTTCCTTGTGTGACAACAAGCCCCGGTCTCCTGTACTACATGAGCTAAACACTGCTCTCTCCATGGGCACAGTCACAGAAGCAAAGTATGGTTTAAAGAGGAGATTGTCTTCCTCCGCTTAGCGATAGATGCCATTTCTAATGAATCCCTTGAGCCTGTGGCCCTGGTGTTCGGGGTTAAATGTGAATAGACAGATGTGCCAGAGCCAGAACTGCTGCAGAGCTCCCTGTAAACCCAAGCCATCCTCTTCAATAATGCAGGAACCCACATGTGACGGGCACATGGCCATGCATAGAGCCGAGCATCCCTGCAGGGAGGAACACACTCCTGGGGATAACAGTAGAGTATGTCTTTACTTCTTTTGAACGCTTCTAAACATCCCTCCCTTTTCATCGTGCCATTATTTTACAGGTCTTTATTTATACCAGCAATGCAATAATGAATTTTTGATGATTGGTTTGAAGTTTGCTGTAGCTGAAAGATAAATTAGAGAAGACCTGGGGAATTTGTGACATTTTTTGTATGTGTTTCTTTATAAACTGACGCTTCTATAAAAATAGCCACAATTTTTATTTAAAAAAAAATGGTATAGGAAATGTAGGATATGTTTCCAGCACTAACAATACGATTAAATGCTTTATATATTTTATATATAATGTTTTAAATGATCCCATGCATCTACCAGCAACAGTGTAAGCATTTATGTTCGACATTCAATCAACAACCTAGTTTAAATTCAAAATCATCATAAAGTTGGAACAGTAATTTTTTTCTACATAGTGTAATATATATATATCTGTCCTGAGAATGCTGGATAATTGCCATCACATTTATTTATCATTAAAGAAATGCAATGTTTTGCAATGCATCCCTGCCACATCCATCTTCTCGTCTTAAGAGTAAATTTTTCTTAATTTATCATTTTTCAGCAATACATTACTGATCATGATGTGCAAACGTACGGGCTAAGTTTTAGCATTAAAATGTGCTCATTATAACGTTAATTCTTTAATTGATGCCTTTTATATGACGTTGTAAAATGCATTAGCTCCAATATTTCCTTTTCCCATTATTTACTTCCTGTATTTTGTCGCCCTCTACTGTGTAACAGGAAGACTACAATAAATTCCATTCCATATTCCATTCCTGTAGTAATGCCTGAGATATATTAAATGCAGATAGGTTTAGAATATTATTTAATGATGTCATAACAATACATTTTACATTAAACCTATAATAAAATTGATTGTAATGGGTATTATTGGACGCATTACATGTATATAATAAAAGAGTTCTGTCTCTTTAAGAAAGACCATTCTGTTTTTTTGACGCTTGATTTAGACGTCACTCAGAGCTACTTTCTGCGCCACATGTGTTGAACGAGTCGATTTATCTCTGTAGTTTTACTCAAAAACATATTGGAATGGACTCAAATCTTTATGGATAAAGACAATATTTTATAAGAAACACTCTTTTAATGTAAGAATTACTGTTTTTGAAAAGGTAAGTTATTGGTTTGTAGAGTACAGCGTCACATTATATATATTAGAGCTGGAGCTATTTACCGATATCCTGCATTCTTTTTTTCAATCTGTAATAGTTGTGACATGCAGTAATGGCTCTCCTGGAGAAGAATGACGTTACAACAAACCTAGAAACACAAGCTATGGCCAGTGAAGAAGAGTTAACGTTAAATGACCCTAAACCAGAGGAGGGGGAGAAAGCAAACTGTGTCCAACATGCCGACCAGGAGATGAACTGTGAAGATGATGATGATGATGGTGGAGCTCTTGAAGCGGGGACTAATGAAGAAGATGTGCTTGAAAACCCAAATGGCAAGAAACTTATTCCAGGTATCGTGTATATAGGACACATCCCTCCGAGGATGAGACCAAAACACATGCGGAATATGCTGAGTGTGTACGGAGAGATCGGCAGGATCTTCCTACAGCCTGAAGGTAAAACAAACAACCTACATGGCTATTCATTTTTTAAACAATCATGTATAAAGACATGACAATGTCCAGATCAGGCTCAAATTATGAAATAATGGTTGTGAGGGAGCATGAAGATTCATTTTCATTCATGAATTGAAACCTCTGGGTCCAGACCTTTAATTCATGGTAAGTCTTTGGGATGTTCTGGAGGAGACTGGACTCTTGCATTGTCAACACATGTTTTTGGCCAAAAATTTATGCACCTCTTGATGGTAATAAATGTGATATTATTTCCATCAAGAGGCACATCAATATTTCACACTTACTGTGTGAAAGTGCATGTTTGACCAACAACATTCATTCCCACTAAAAATCGGACTCTCTTCTAGATCGTTGTGTAAAAAATAAGAAAAAGAAGGCAGGGAGCAGATCATCCAGTTTCACTGAGGGATGGGTGGAGTTCAGAGACAAGCGCATCGCTAAGAGAGTCGCAACCACTCTGCACAACACACCCATGGCCAACAGGAAGAGGAGCCATTTCAGCAGTGACCTGTGGTCCATCAAGGTAATACATAATACAGATCAATCAAATAATGTTGCACTTACACTGGTTTGGACCTCATCACGGGCTGCATGTCCTCATCTCATATTTGAAATGCATTTGATTAACAACTACATGCTAATGCACCTGCACCTGCAATTGACAAGTTTAGGTGAGTAAGGACAAAACGCACTAGATGTAGTACCTTCAATGGCCTGTAGATGGCTATCACTTATTTTGTAGCAGAAAAGGTTCAATCTGGTAGTAGTAGTAGTAGTAGAAGTAGTAAAAATCTTTATGTGTCCCTTTACAGGGCAATTTAAGTAGCTTCAACCTCACAAAACAGCAAAACATCACAGACATTACACACACACACACACACACACACACAAAAAACACACAAAACCCTGGGCATTTGTAATGTGGTGCTACACATTACATTCTGGTGCAGAATGTAATGTGCATTACTCGTCATCAGTCGAGTAATCATGTACTATTCTAATTACATTTACTCAAATACTTTACACCACTGCACTACCGGTCAGAAGTTTAGGTTCAGTACTCAGTACGTTTTTTTTTTTTGTTTTTTGTTTTTTAAGAAAATACTATTTTTATTTAGCAAGAATGGTTTAAATTTATCAAAAGTTACAATAAAGACATTTTTAATGCTACTAAATATTTATATTTCAAACAAATGCAGTACTTTTGAATTTTCTATTTTTCAAAAGATCCTGAAATTAATTTTATCATGGTCTCCAGAAAAATATTAAGCAGCAAATGGTTGGAACATCGATAATGAAAAGGATATTAGAATCTGAACTGGATCATGTGACATTGAAGACTGGAGTCATTTTGATCAAATTATTGCAGCTAGGGCTGTCAAACGATTAATCACGATTAATCGCATCCAAAATAAAAGTTTGTGTTTACATAATATATGTGGGTGCACTGTGTATAATTATTTTGTATATATATATATATATAAATACACACACACACATGCATGTATATTTAAGAAAAAAAATATTATTTATATATATTATATATAAATCTATATACATGAAAATATTTCTTAAATATATACAAGCATGTGTGTGTATTTATATATATATGAAATAATTATACACAGTGCACCCACATATATTATGTAAACACAAACTTTTATTTTGGATGCGATTAATCGTTTGACAGTCCGACTTGCACAATTTAAAATGACTTTTTTTCTTTTCTCTTTCATCAAGTATCTGCACCGGTTCCATTGGTGCCATCTCAGCGAACGATTGGCTTATGAGCAGACGGTCTATCACCAGCGTATGAGGACTGAAATCTCCCAGGCGAAGAAGGAGACCAACTTCTACCTGGCTAGTGTGGAAAAGAGCCAGAATCTGGAGAAACTAAAGAAGAAAAAGGAGAAGAAGGGAGAGGTTGTAGAGGAGAAGACATGGGACTACAAACAGCGTTCTACAGAGGAAGAGATCCACCTGAAACGGTTTAAGAACAAAGGCATATCCAAGAAGAACCTCAAGAAGGCACAAGAGAAGAGCAAAACCATCCAGGACAAAGCTCAATCAAACGTTTCCCTCCTGGCCAAGATCTTCAGTAGTGGAAGGGCTCAGGAATGATGTGCTGAGAACATTAAGGTTGCTGGTTTTGGTGATACTGCAGACAGAGTGGGATTGGCGATTACCTCGGATGCATTTTTTTTTTCTTCTCGTAATTGTTTGCATACTTCTCAACATTCAATCTTTGAACAGATGGAAACCTCTTGTAGATCGTTCTGATGGACAGTTTCATATTTTCAGAGTAAAACACTGCATAACTCACACACGCCCCACTATTGTGAAAACGGTGCTCTGTTTTCCCATGAAAAGAGGCTTAATGTCCTCTGAAAGCATAATAAATTGTTTATTCATGAAATTATAGTCTAATTCTACCTTCAAATTATTTTTAGTCTTTGTTTTTTTACATATAAATGATCATTGGGTTTTTGGGGTCGGTATCAATTATTCATATTAATTTAATATTAATAATATTGTCTTTAGATACAAATTGTCCTTAGTAAAGAGCCAAAAGTAATGACATTATTTATTGTATTAATACAATCTCAATATTAAGGACTTTCTGCTTAGAAAACAAATGAGATTTTTAAGAGATTGAATTTCATGTTTATCAAACAATACAATTTCCTTCCTGAAAAGTTGTACAAAATTATATTGTAAAATATCTTAAACCATAGGTCAGTAGATATGGTGTACAATGACATTTCACAGCATTACATTGTGACAGTGGACAAAAAGATCGGTTTGTCTGATCTTAGAAGGCATGGCATCACAAGACAGAAACATTGGGTATTTTAGAGGAATTGGCTTGTTCTACACAACCATTTATAAACATCTGCTTGTAAAATGAGATCTTCCTCATCCTAAGAAGACAGATTTCTCCAGGCCATCTTCTGCTTTGGTGTACTCCAGGTAGGACGGGTAGTATCGGCTCTCATAGCGTGGGTTGTTCCTCACATATTTCAAATATTCTGGGGCTCCAGGACAAATGACGTTGTCAGCCAACAGGACAGTGCCTTTTTTGAGTAGACCACAGTCCTACAATGACATAAAATGAATACATTTGTAATTTTCCTTATGTTAGGATGATTACTAAAGGGGTTAGAGTACACTCTTAAAGGGGTCATTGGATGCAAAATTCACTTTTTAAATGGTGTTTGCATAAATGCGTCTTTGCAGTATGTGGACACATCCACTATACAATAAAAAAAAAAAAAACAGTCTCGATAATCAGGCTGTTTAGGTCTTCTGGGCACTATGACGTCATAATGCCCATGCTCCGCCCACAACTACGCTTCCGGGTTTCATCGGTGGGATTTGTCAACTTTGTGCATGTCCACTTTCCGACGCAGTTCAACAATGGCTTAGACGAAGGCTATATATGTCACTGTTCTGTTCCACTTTGTAAATCTAGCCAACAACGCCAACCCTACGTAAGTTTTCATGGATTCCCAACTGAATTGAGTATAAGGAAGAACTGGATTAAAACTTTAAAATAAAACAAGGTAGCATGTTTGTTTGCAGCCGGCACTTTAGTGAATCAGACTAATTTACCAGGGATGCTGTATAAATAAACTTAATGTAGTCCGTCTCCGTCATCAGTTTGCCAGCGAGATCGGTCATTCAACGGAAGTGGCAGTGCACAAAGATCACTGAATCCGGAAGTCCTACGTATCAGCGTGATAATCCCCTATGGGCTATATGCACGCATAAATTCCGCATTTGACGCAAGGATGCTCGTCCATTTCCGGTTGTGGAGATTAAAGCGGAGGAAAACGGAATTATGGCAGAGTCTTCAAAATTTACTGTCCTCCAGTCTTTGAAATGAAACGTACGAAGATGTAATTTTATATATAGTTATATTTATTTAATATAATTTTAAAAAGAAGCATAAACACAACGAGGGGTGTCTGTTTTATCTGTTTTTGTGACTAACGTTTCTTTAGTATAACCATGGAGTATAAAATTCAATATAAATTCTCGGCATTGCATTGGACTCTACGATCGGCGGAAGTTATCGAGCATTCCTAATGCTTCACCGGAAATACTGCCGTGCATAGAGCCCATTAGCATGTTTCTACCTTCAGCCATTCGACACCCCCCATGGAAGACATGCACACCTAAACAGAGCTGTTTTTGAAGAGGTAAAAAGGGTGCTTTACACAATCATTAAGGAGTTTTAACCAAAGTAAATGTACAAACTTTACATGAACACCCTGAAGAATCATACCAACTTGTGGAAAATGGGCATCCGATGACAACTTTAAAAATAAACGTTCCTAAAGGGAGGTTTTTCACTGGAAAAAAAGGTACTGTAAAGAAAACTTCAAAGGATGTTAAAAATTCATTGGAACCATAGATGTCAATAATGAACTTTTTTTATTTTAAGTGTGTAAACAGTGTAATTTGGGGGCTTCTTACCTCAAGAAGTTTAGTATCTGGGACGTAACGATCTTTCCAGTGGTCCAAAAACACAAAATCAAAAGATTTTAATCCAAATCGCTCCTTCATTTTAGGAATCAAATCACCAGAGGCTCCCTCCACTATAGTAACCTTTAAAAAAACAACGAAGATATTTTCAGTGCTTTGAGATGTCGTGTCACTGCTGTGTTACCTTCACAGCTCTCACGCTCCGAACCGTAGTTAAGAGCGAGCTGGCATCCTTATAACTAGGCTCGTAGCAGGTAACTTGCTAGTGGTCCGGCTAACAGAGCTGAAGCACACACTGTAGTCATCGGCTTTCTTTCAACAGGTTCGGGCTTTATTGTTCACAGCGGTACACATTCACGGCATGAATAAGGCACTTTGCTTACTAGCATTCGCACGGACGGGGCTGCATTACCACCACCGTTAGTTCATTTCATCCACACCGACAGATTTCCCGCTACACTTTGTTTACACTACGGAAAACCCACTACGGAAACACAAGAGGCCCAACACGTCCTACATACGCGTTTTCTTTTTATCAATAGCAAGAGATTGCAACACTACCCCCACTCTGGAGAATGATTAAACCTTTAACATATCTCCAGCATCAGACTACACACGGGGAAATATTAATTAGACAGTCATCATACAAACATCCCCAACATTAGCGTTAAGTTACTCAGGTTGCAGATTTTTTTTTTTTTTTTTTAAGTGCAAAATTAGAGCATTAGAGCGGTTAAACAACGTTCTCAGCAGTAAACATACAGTACCTTAAGATGTTATAACAAAACTATGTAGCCCGTTAGTGTCTAAATTACCGACTGTTGATAGTAAACAATTATATCAAGCCCATAACAAAGTCACATGTTAACTTCAACATAATCAAGTTACATAGGTAACAATACAATACTAGAACTCCTTTTAGTTTTGACAATACTGGAACTCTTTTAGTTTTTGACAATACTGGAACTCTTTTAGTTTTTGACAATACTGGAACTCTTTTAGTTTTTGACAATACTGGAACTCTTTTAGTTTCCTTTTGTTTAGAGGAGGGCAGCGATCCGCCTACACCCAGCCTCTAACAGATATGCTCAGTGAACAACCCAATCACCAAACATGTCAGGAGCTCTGCGGACCCTCCGGGGTCGATGCAGAGGGGTGGAGTTCAAAAGAGGACGAGGGACTTGTCCCCTTCTCTCACTCAGTGAAGGCTCAGCCGTGTGGCAAGGCAGCTGGCTGCTGCTCGGTGAAACTGCCAATGATGGCGGTAAAGAGAAAAGACTTGGAAGGGACTCCACCACAGGGTCCTCTGTTTCTGGTGATGTGCCCCAAAGGTCAAGAGGGCCGATATCAACTTCCGAAGAGCTTATGTCTGACAACGGGGGTGGCGCCTCCACTGGTGCCCACATTTCAGCCTCTTGGAAGACCCAGTTGTTGTCGAGTGTTGTCCTGGAGTGGTAAGGTTTGAGTTTGTCATGATGAACGACTTTCATCTTCATTTTTGGGCCCCTTTTAATTCGATAGATCAAATCGTCCAGTACACCCACCACGAAGTACGGACCCTCATAGGAAGGGAGGAACTTCCGCACTTTATTCTTTACTCTTTTTGTGCCTTTGACTAAGAACCATACTGGCTCACCGACTTTGTATTGGACTCGGCAAATATTTTTGTCGTACTGTCGTTTGGCATGCTCGACAGAATTTCCTAGCGCCTCCCGAGCCAACTGATGAGATAGCTCGAGCCGTTCCCTTAGCTGTACAACATAGGCTGCCGGGGTAGCAGTGTTGTCTGGGTCAGGTGGCAGCCCAGCAACAAGATCCACCGGCTCTGTAATTTCCCGTCCGAACAACATCATATTAGGCGTCAGGCCTGTGGAACTGTGTTTGGTTGCACGGTAAGCCATGACTGCATATGGGGTCATAATGTCCCAGTCCCAATGACATCGTTCCGCAGTGGTGGCTAAGATTTTCTGCAGAGTGGCATTGAAACGCTCCACTTGGCCATCTGACTGTGGCCGGAACGGTGTGGTTCGTGTCTTATCGATTCCCAGCAGCTCGCACATCCCTTGGAACACAGCTGACTCGAAATTTGTACCTTGGTCGCTGTGCAGGCACTGTGGAGCTCCGTACCTACACACCCACTCGGAAACAATCTTTTCAGCCACTGTCGTTGCTTGTTCGTTGGGAACAGGATAGGCTTCCACCCATTTGGTGAAATAGTCCTGTACCACTATTATGTAGCGGTTGCACCTTTCAGTTTCATTTAATGGTCCCATTAAATCGACTGCGATCCGTTCAAAGGGGGCACCAACTCGTACTGTGCCCATGGCGGCTTGAGGTGTTTTCTTGGGCCGGGCTTTCGCAGCGCAACGGGTGCAAGTGCGACACCACAGAGTGACATCATCCCTCATATTGTACCAGTAGTACCGGGCCTTGAGGCGTGCAAGGGTTCTTTCTCCTCCAAAATGGCCACCGACTGGACCATCGTGCAATTGTTCCATCACTGAGGTGCGGTACTCTCGAGGCAGCAAGATCTGTGGATAGAACACCCTTCCAGTCGTGCAATAGAATTTTCGTAGCATAACTCCATCTTTCTGGTAGAGCCTTTTCCACTGTGACCAGTAGGCTTTGGTGGCAGGGCTGTAGAGTGCTATGTCACCCCAGGGTGGCCTGCCTTTCCCCTCGTCCATCCACTTCCTCACTGGCGCTATATCTGGATCAGCTTCTTGGGCACTAATTAACTGCTCTCGGGTCCAACCACCGAACAGGTTGACTTGGGCTGGCTCACTCACCCTGTAGACACCTGGACGGAACACAAAGCCAGCTTGATTGTCAATGAAGGCGTCCACTACCCCCACTGTTAGATGCTTAGGCTCGGCTGCGGGGCTGCCTCCATAGCTAGCTTCGGGCACCACTACCCCCACTGGAGGT